AGGGAATTATAGCAAGAACGTGCAGAAAATTCGATGAACGAGCATTTCTGGGCTGATCAAAATCCAAATGTTGTCAAGGAAATGGGATATCAGGAAAAGTTTAGTTTCAACGTATTTTGCCTTCTAAAGGATAACCGAATAAGCCTCATTTACGATGAACTGTTGAATTCGGCAAAATATCTGCGAATTCTAAGGTCAGTTGTGAACGACTTATTGAACAATCTGTTATTAGAAGCGTATCGTAGCAGTTGGTTTCAACTGGATGGTGCACCGGTTCACTGCACTAGGGAGGTAAAAACAGAGATGTTCGAAATGTTCGACAATCACTGGTTCAGACGTTTGGATCCGTGGTAGTGGCCTGCGAGATTACCCGATCTCACGCCACTTGATTTTTTTCTTGTGGGGTGATTTGAAGAGAAAAACATGACACCAGTGCACAGTAAACAAGACCTGCGCCAACGAGTTATCAATTGCATTGAAGAGCTAGATGCCAGTGAAATAAGGAGGGATACAACTGTATCTCCAAATACCCGGATTTTGAAATGTTTCGAAGCCAATGATCAGCATTCAAAAATTTATTGTGAACGTTTTTTAAATTTTCGACAGATAATTAATGAAATTATGTTGTAATCGTACAAACTTCTTTTTGTTCATTGGTTTTAGATCAGGATACGTTTCATTGAATTTTCTGCACGATCTTGCTATAATTCCCTCACGATTTCCATCAAGAATAAACATTTTCATCAGAACTTCATTTGAATAATTATTTTCCTCCATTTCAATTCTTTTTGAGTCAATTCCGTTGAGAAACACACAAAGGTTTTTATCGTGAGAACCAAGGTAGGAATTGGTGTTCTTCTTAAATTTCTGGAGGTATTCTTACTTGCTCCTATCTCAGAATTCTGGCTATTTACGTATAGGAACATGATATATCAATTCGAAGAGAATTTTGTCATATTTCAGGATATTTCATAATATACAGGGTGTTCCATTTAAAAAACGCACTTTCAACCCTTTTTGTATCTAGCAGTAAGATCATGAATTTCGAACGACCCTGTATAACGCAGAACAAACTTCTCTCTACAGAATCAATATACATGATCTTTATGAACTAAACAATTCGAGCTATGTTTTGGATAAAAAATATGCAAAATAATCAATATCTCGAAAACCGTTAGAGATAGGTATAGGATAGTATGGAGCAGAAATAACCAGAAAGTGATGATAAGTTCAAAAATGCGTTAATATACAGGGTGTCCCATTTGAAATTATAAAGATGCTGTTACTTTCTAGTATAAGCGGCAACGCTGCATTGCTGAAAATGTTTTAGATCGATAGATCAAGAGCAATTACCTGAGCAACCAAATTTTCAGAATGATCTTATGCCCCGTTCTCCGTAAACGTCTAAGGTGCCATCAACCGTGACCCACCCTGTATATATATATACGTTATATGTATCCGGGAAACTTTTTTCCCACGGGCAAAAAGTAATTTATGAAAAGTGACATTTCATAACCTGTCAAAGACAAAGACAAAATGCCAATTTTTTTCCGTCACAGAAAAAAAAAATTGACCCTGCTATTTTGTCTTGAGCGTGATATTTTGTCAATTGAATTCCGATATTTTGTCAATTGAATTCGAGAGGGAGTCCATAATCATCAAACTCGTTCATCGTCCACTACCTTCAAGCCACAATCTAGAATTGATGAATTCTTGCAACAAATTCATAACTCTTTTCCCACCAATTTTAAATATTACTGGACCATTACCATTATGGAGCCGCCATTTTCATTTCAAAATATTTTCTAAGAAATCTCCAACCTGGAAAACCACTCCCATACCAATTTTGTATGGAATCTGATCATAATCACAAATCTCGTCCGCCATCTTATATATTCGCGATAGAAAATAAGCGCACGCCACCTATCGGAGTTCTTGAAAGCTGACAAAGCGGCATGTTTACTTTGTTTTCATAGGTTCACATTTGTTTTTTGTTTGTGCTTATTGGTCATATCATCGAAACAAACAGCTCAGAACTGATCAAGTTGTTGCCGTCAGGTGGGGCACGTGTTATTTTCTCTGCAAATTTGTTTTTATCTCGATCAAAAATTCTGATACATTGTCAGGGGAATTAGAAACACATATAAATAATACATAATATCACAGCCGTCTTCAACTATCAAGCCGTGCTGAGATACTGGCAACGTCGCACGAACGGAAACCGTCGGTCCCATTCGAGCCTAGCAATACAATGGTTTTTATATGAGCGCAAACTTTGAATGTTTGGTTTTCTCGGATTATTTTGTCGAATAGGTAAAAAATACAGGAGAGTGAACTTACAGAGTGAAGAACAAGGAATAATGTGGTTGAATAATTTCCCTTGGTCATGAACTGAAGCCGTAATTTTGAACATTTTGATAAAATAAAACTTATTAAGATATCCAACTGTTCATAGTTGTGGATGAGGTCTGATTTTTCAAACTGTTCTATTATATTACTTTGAATATCTAAATATTTCTGACGTCTTTCATTTGGATCAGTTCTTGATGGTTTGGCTGGTTTTGAAAAATATTTTGGTAAATTTGTAAAAATTGAAGGAACTGCTGTTTTGACTAACTGGTGCTCGTAACAAATTTTTTCCAATTGATCCATCTGGCAGAGGGAATGTATCATACCTGATGATATCTTTTTCAATAAAATGAATTGCACATACTGTAGAACGTTGAGATGGTGTTCAGTTTTTTCGAGGTATTGCTGTTATCCACTTACTTCGCGATTCTTCCCCTTTTGGGAATAAAAAAACTGAGACATGATCCTTTCCCAGCTTTTTTTCAGAGCTGTAATTTGACTTACATCCTGGCACACAACAATGAGAAGGCATATAAGGAATAATGAATAACTTATTTCCAGGAGTAAATTGAAAAAACAACACAAATTCCCTTGCAAATACACCAGCACTAGTACACTTCACTATAACCTCCAATTTAACACAATTTTGAATGCACTTGCCACACACTTTCAGTCTCGAGTCGATTCCTAGATTGTTGCTAATACTTTTAAAATTATTTGATCTCAATATTACACCAATTAATAATTGAAAACTTTAAAAAAACCTTCCATAAACTCCTTGTTTACTTCCTACACAATACACTTTGAATGGCCGACAGGTGCAAGTTCGGTCGTTCGGACAATGTTGCCAGACTGCTTCTTCACGGCTTGATAGTTGAAGACGTCTGTGATAATATGGATGATGGGCCTGGTAGTGAGCAGAAATGAGTGGCAGTGAACATAATGCTTTAGGTATAGAGGTCGGCAATGCTGGGCAGTAGTCGGCAATGCTAGGCAGTGTTCGGCAATGCTAGGCAATGGTCGGAAATGATAGGCAGAGGTAGGCAATGCTAAGCAGTGGTGCAGTGGTCGGCATTTAATGGACATTTTTCAGCAATGGAGCAATGGTGTACACATTATTAATGATTGACTGACTAATGATGAAAAATCCAATTTTTGCCCAAAACTTCGACACCCTGTATCTTTCTCGGGAATTTGTTATCAAAGTTTTTTCAAGAAAGTCTACTTTTTTTTATCGCTTGGAGCGCACGAAAGGGAATCCCTATAATGTTCAAAGAACATCGTGCGTTCCTAGGGAGGATAGGGACAGGAGGTAGGTATTGGAATTTTTTTTGAACTTTTGGAGATTATATGTTGTTGGGAATACTTCCACAGGCAATGAATTCCAGAGCCTAGCCGTTCTATGGATGAAGGAGTCTTGATAAAGTGCTGTTCCACATCTTTTCTGTTCTATTGCCTATCAAAATTAATCACCTTCAAACTAGACCACCCTGTTTGTCAGAACCACTCTCATTCAAATTGATTTTTCAGTAGTTAGAAACTTAGAAACAGTTTGGGTAATGTTTATTGATATTCAGGGTACATAACAGAGTCAGAAATAGAATATAATTTCAAATAATTCAGGATCTATATATTTAGTGTTAGGTAATACAGAAATAACAGGTGTGGGATATTCAAAGTATTTGAAGCACTATAGGGCTTCTCAAGTGCTTCCACCATTATTGAATCAATTTTGAATCCTAGTTTCAAGTTTCAAATGTTTTTTACTGTAATTGACTTTTGGAAGAGCATTATTTCTTGTGATGGTTATGCTAGGATTGATATCATTGTTTCATTGCTGTTGCTATCTGGTAACATTGTCCCTAATTTTGGAAATAATAAAAACAGGTGAAAAAAAGGAAGTCTGATAGATAACAATAACCTCCACAATAACCCATAGGACACTGCACATTAGATTCCAAAAATAATACTTAACATCTGTAAATTAATCTACAATTAAGTATAGAATTCCCATGCATACTAATATCATAATTAAGTACCTTGCTAAGGTACCTTGTCTACCTGTTTGAATACCATCCTATAACTAAATATAATGAAATTGTATTATCTTTCTTGAGAACAAAATAAACACTTTCTATCAATAGAAACTAAACTTGAATTATTTTTTGTCACAAGACTGATTGATTTACAAGAAACCACTATTTAAATTCATATTACCTACTACAATTCTATAACAATCATGAATACAACATCATGAACATGTTATCCAAACAAATGCCATTTTAGAAAAACCATTGATAGTATCTACTTACAGCAACTATCCAAATTTCCAATAGGACACTGCACACTAAAATCCAAAAATATGGAAAAGCCTATTGGAAATTGATCTAGAAATTGAGTCTGAAATTCCCAAGAATACCTACTAGTTTGAAGTATCATCCTCAATCTTGTCTACCTGTTTATATTCCTTATCACTAAATATAATAAACTATTGCATATCTATGAGAAGAAAGCAAACTATCAAGTTTTATCAATAGAAACTAAACTTTCATTACATTAAGTCACAAGACTGATCAACAAGGAACCATAAAGTGATGAAAATGTTCTCCAAAGAAATAAAATATTAGTAAAGCAAAGCAGGTAGTACTTACCAACTGTTTCTGAATTTCGTGAATCATATTTTCTCACATTATAATAAGAATCTCCAAATTCACGTTCTCCTTTTCTGTTTGGAGGACCTGGACCTCTGCTTCTATAGCCTCTGCGTTCACTGATTCTAGTAGATCTGAATTCTGTTGATCGAGATTTTCCTACTACTTTGCCACTTCGACTATCCTTCGAAAACGAAGAGTTTTTTCTATTTGAGTCATTTACTTCTTCCTCTAAACTATTATACTGATCATCATGTTCAAACTCATGGACTTCCTTAGAGCTTTTGGAGGCTCTAAGTTTATACGTTGAATTGTTTGATATCATCACTTACATATCGAAGATTATAGTTGACGTTATAAACAATTAATTTCGTCGGTGTTTATTGAAATAAAAAGAATTTAAATGTTTCTATCAATGAACCTTTTTCTAGAGGATAACCAGCCACCAGCCGGAGCTACCAAACCAATGTCAAGTGTCAAGAATTTGAGTTGACAGGTGAATGAAGTGACATGACAAATGACAGTCCATCCTTGACAAGGCATTCGGCGCTGAGCGGACACCGTTAAAAAACATGGGTGCGTTTTTCATTCCAACATTTTATCATGCGCATGAATCGAAGAAACCATCAAACTGTTGCAAAATTCCGCTGGAATGTTGATGGACATCCATCAAACTGTTGTAATAAAATGCGCACTTTTAAATCGCATTTCGAGAATCCAGCAGTTTGGAAGAGATTGACATGACAGTTGACACATTTTAGTGTTGTTTCTTGTTTTGATTTGATAGAAAACAATTAATATTGAGGATCTTTGAGATTCTTGAGAGATTTTAGAAGAAAGAGTCAGTGTTAATCAATAAAGTCGAATTAGCCTTTTCTGATTCTCAAGATACATGATGACTGACACACAACAAAATCCGTGTTTTCATCAATGTGTTGTATAAACCATTGTTCAATCCTTCCAGCATAAATTCCAACAGAACAATTGGTGACGTCACGACAAAAAACCGCATCTATCAGTGCGCACTTTCTTCGATGGAAAGAAAAACACGCCCCATGGGTGCGTTTTTCATTCCAACATTTTATCATGCGCATGAATCGAAGAAACCATCAAACTGTTGCAAAATTCCGCTGGAATGTTGATGGACATCCATCAAACTGTTGTAATAAAATGCGCACTTTTAAATCGCATTTCGAGAATCCAGCAGTTTGGAAGAGATTGACATGACAGTTGACACATTTTAGTGTTGTTTCTTGTTTTGATTTGATAGAAAACAATTAATATTGAGGATCTTTGAGATTCTTGAGAGATTTTAGAAGTAAGAGTCAGTGTTAATCAATAAAGTCGAATTAGCCTTTTCTGATTCTCAAGATACATGATGACTGACACACAACAAAATCCGTGTTTTCATCAATGTGTTGTATAAACCATTGTTCAATCCTTCCAGCATAAATTCCAACAGAACAATTGGTGACGTCACGACAAAAAACCGCATCTATCAGTGCGCACTTTCTTCGATGGAATGAAAAACACGCCCCATATAATTGCAAGTTACAACTTCTCCAGTGCGATCTCGTGAGTTGTCAGTGGCAATGCTTCTTTCTTATGGCACAAGTGCCCAAGCGGTCTAGAGAGTAGTACATGAACCGTGAGTAACAGGCTGACAGTGAGAAAATTCGTCAACAAATAATTCAGGTTATGTTAAATAGCTCATTCGACATTGGATTCACAGGAAATAGATCACGCCACATACCGTCCCTACAAAATTTCATCACAGGGCGATTTTCGCGAAATGAATAGTGACGTATATCATGTCAGACAGTCTAGGTATTTAGCCGTCATTGGTCAAAGCAAGGTCAAAGCAGTCAATGCAAGGTCAATCATTTCGAATAGAAGTGGTCATGATGAAAATAAGGTGGCTATAATTGACTGGTGTGTCAAGTCCCTATCCTCAAGCGTGCCCAAAACCTCTGGATCAAATAGGCAACCAGCCCACTTGATATTACAATATTCCAACCAGGTCTCCTACCAACAGGAGTAAGTTCGCCAAACTGTCACGGGGGGCGCCATCTCTGACTTCAGAATGGAGCGAATTGCTGCGTTGCCAGTAGGCGAAAAAATTCCCTTCCTATAAGAAAATTCAAGTCCATCGAGGAATCAGTAATATGCAGAAATTTAACCCAAGTTGTGTCAGGAGAATGTATTAATAATGTTTTTTTCTTCATTCTATACTCATGTTCAGGAAATTCAATTCAAAATTCAAAAATTCAGTATCATGCTTTAACATCAGTGGTATTGTGGATCCCTCTTATTTTCATCATTTCTATTCATATATTCACTAAATTCACATTGGATTTCAGGCTGTAAGTTGGTCATTGTTATACCAACATATCAAAAATAATCTAGTTCAATTGTGGTGCACATAATGAGGAATGATTGAAATACATGCAAAATAATATCTCTGATATGTATATATTGGAATTCATGATAATTTTTTTTATATACACAGTTCATGAGATTCGGACTGAATTCTGATACCTTCTCTATATTAAGTATGTTGAATATATATGATAGGTACTCTATATATCATCGATTATCTCTGACATCTGAGAGTTTCTGTTCGTTAAAAATAATTAGGTATTGTAGGCAATGAGTAGGATGGAGTAGGTAACCAAATTTTGACATCTCGAGATAGGTAAATGGAGTTTCATGTTTATTTATATATATCCCTGCCATTCTGTTCTTATTAGATCACTTCCTTCTCCTCGCAATAGAGCGACCTCGATTCCCAATTCTTCAATCACTATCGTATCTTTGATTCAATGGAAAATACACGTCGGCTCTCCTGGCGGCGATGACTAACCTAACCAAGGTCATAAAGCTAGAAAGTCGGTGCCAGGCAAACTTCTCGCGTAAAAAAGTTCGCTGTTTGACAGAACCACATCAATTTTCAGAAAATAAATGAAAAATTCTTGCCATATTATCATCATACCATACACTTTGGCAAACAGTAGTGGTAAAAACACTAGCATTAATGTAAAAAAATTGTTTCTAGAGGAGATATACCCGAAATTCAACTGAACTTGGCAGTCGTACTGCCATTATTACCAACTTTTCCATGTGAACAGTTAGCCCGTTTTATTCAAGCTCTCTGCTATATGCAACGCGCCATGAGCGCAACCAAAAACCGAATATAAAAAGAGTAAATAGACCGCTTTGATAGCTTTCAGAAACCCACATAGAAAATAATATGCAAATTCAAATGATAATGAAATCTTGGATGAATCAGCGTACATACATTGGATGAATACACTTTTTATTTCACACATAAAACATGAGAAAGAATATATATGTATAGATATACATATTCATAATTAATGAATGATGCATCAACTAATCTCACAAAATATCAGTCGATTCATGATTATTCGAAAATAGTTTAGTGGATGGAATTCGGACTAAACATTAATTTAAGATATGGCAACGCTGGTTGGCAAATTCTCTGATTCCAAATGTCATTGTCTCTTGTCAATAATTAAATTTATAAGAAAAATAAAGATGATGATTTTCAATTCGAATATTTTTAAATTATCAGTGATACAAACATGAAACAACGGTAAAAGTATTATTAATTGTTCTCGCTGTGTGATAAATGTGATTAGTGACTACACAAATAGTGCATAACTGTTCAAAAAGCCCAAATAATCAGCATGGCGGCAAGTAGAAGGTACTCATCATTATTTGGTAAGTATTAACATTTTCCTTTCAACTCCTTTATTATTATTACTACTATTTAATTGCTACGAACTGTGGAAGTGGTAGTTGACTTTTTTGTGCCTAATTCAAATTGTTGTGACGAAGAAGTGTACAGTCACATTGAGATACTCGAAATCTTCTGAAGTGTGGGTTGAAGTGATACAATCAAGAATTATCGGACTTTAGGTATTGAAGTAATGATACCAAGTACATAATACCACATATTATCAGGTACCTACAACTGGTACAACTGTTAGTTGAGTACCTACATAATTTATCGAAACTTGGGCTGAAATTATCTAAGACCTGAGCCAATTTTCAATGCAAATTTCATGTTGATCACTGTATATTAATAATTTATCAATTTATAAGTATATCAGGTGGTCCATCCAAAATGTACCACAAGTTATTACAGGCTGAGAAAGAACTTCTCACTCAAGGAAATCAAAAAACACCTCAAGTTTGTTTGTTAGGGGGACAACTTTTGATGCAAACAGCGTAGCAAATCCTTCAATCCTCTGAGTGGAGGGGTTATATCCCTTTTTTTAATAGGAATAGGGGTAGAGTTGTGCCTCATTGAATAGGATTTTTTATCTCCTATACATTGTAGTTGTTTTTGAAGATTGATTTACTTGTTTATAAAATATGAAGCTTAGAAATACCAACATGTGATGAAAAATTCCGAGAAAAAATCTATAAACCCATTTCATTTTGCTTAAAAGTTTTAACACTTCATACACAAGTCAGAAGACAGCTTAACTAGCAAATACCTGGCCTATCTGAAGGTAAAGCCCAGGGTAAAGTACAAAAACGATTATTTTTCATTCACAGAAATGATTATTTTTTATTCACAGAAACAAGCCTGAAGAATCTAAAAAGTAAAGTACTCATCTGAATTCTGAATGAAAGATTGATATTTTTTTTTTTCAAGAATCTGGAACAATATCAATGCAATTTTGCCATCTTTGTAAAATATTTTTATTTGCTGTCACTTTTCCTCTTTTTTTGTTCTTTTGAACAACATATTCTAAGTCTTGAGTGGTCTTGACAAGACATATATTCTAATTATATTCACAGTGAAACTATCCTTATGTTCATGACAACCTATTAAATTAGATGGTGAAAAACTTAGCTTCTCCAATATTTCTGATGAAGCATTTCTAGTGAGTTCACTTTTGAACACAGTAGAAACGGGTTTTTCAACTTCCCTCAAAAGGTGAATGACACTTTCAGATGGATAAGTTAAAAACCCCCTACTCTTATTTTTAATAAATCCCTTGAAAATTTCATTTCCTTCACCAGTGATACTATTTTTGCAGTGAAAGAATGCATATCTTTCACTTTTGATTTTTTTTGTAACATCACAAAAATAAGCAAAATCTTCCACTTTTCCAAATTCTTCTTCAATCTCTTGCATTCCTTCTTCTAAATGTGGATCAAATACAATTTTTTTTCTCTGGGGTTTTAGCTCTCCCAAGTGTCTTCATCATTTCCCCACCACTAACATTACTACCAGGAGGTGGTTTTATCAGGGAATGGAGAGACATCAGGTGAAATATATATAGCCAA